AGACCCCTCCTCTAGCGTGCTTGACAACGCTCAATGCCGCTTAAATCAAAGTCGATCGACTGCTGGCTATTTTGATGATCCTGTTTTTAAGCGGCATTGAGCGGTGTCAAGGAAGCTAGAGCGGGGGTCTCAATCCGAGGAGAGGAGAGGTAAGTTGGCCCCCAGCCGTGTTCGATCCTGAGATGTCGCAGCAGCAGCTGAGATGGAGAAGCGGACGACATCATGGAGAATGGCTGTATTACTGGAGACCGAGTTAACGGGCTTGTCGATGGACTGACGGGAACTTGGTATGTTTTCTTTTTCGTTGAAAAAAAAACTGATTGACGCGATCGTTTTTCTTCCCTTTTCATGCACAGGTACACTAGATTTGATACTTTTACACCGGCCGCGGAGAATGAGCTACCTGTAACCCGTGTCATCAGTAGAATGAAGCTTCAAGAGATCTTAGCTGGAGAACAGATCTTGAGGGAACACCGTCATACAAAGTTTGATCTTTTGGCATAGCAAGATAACCTCTTTTTATTTCTTTGGGAGTGTGAAGTTTAGATATAGATCTTCTCCACTGCTCGCCCGCATTCATGGCGAGTGATGCGATCAAGGATCTCGCTCTCGTCGCGCGATCCTCGCCACGATGCCTTCCATTCTTTTGTAGAGGCCCTCCAGGCCTGCTCCACCTCCAAGAACGTGGAGGAGCTAGAAAGGGTCCGGGAATCCATTCGCCGCAGCGAATTTCGCGACAACACGTTGCTGGGGAACCAGATCCTGAGGGCGTATAGCAAGTGTGGGCGATTGAAAGATGCGCGCTGTGTGTTTGATTCGCTGGCTCGCCCGGACATGCACTCTTGGAACTCGTTAGTTGCAGCATATGCCCAAAATGGGCATCTTGGTCATGCCAAGAACGTGTTCTTTCAGATGCCGCGCAGGGATCTGGTGTCGTGGAACACCATCATACAAATCCTTTTGCAAGACAGGAAGATTTCTTACGCAGTGGAAGTTTTGGATCTGATGCCCCAGCAAAGCGTTTGCTCGTGGAACACGCTCATATCCGGGTATGCCCAGCTCGGGCATCACCACCTGGCAAAGCATCTGTTTGATTCCATGCCGGAGCGGGACCGGCTTTCCTGGTACGCGCTCCTGGTGGCCATTTCCAACACAGGTAACATAAATCCAGCTCAGGAAATCTTTTCAAAGTTTCCAATGCAGGAGAAGTTCTCGTGGAATGTGATGCTTGGAGCACTGGCCAAGACGACGGATCAAACCAGCGCTGCAAAGATCATATTTGATGACATCCCCGAGAGAGACATCGTGTCGTGGAACACTCTACTCCAGGCCTTCGTCCAGATTGAGTCCACCCACAGTGCTCGCAAGATTCTCGAGCGAATGCCGAGCTGGGACGTTGTTTCGTGCACGTCGATGCTGGCAGCGTATGCCCAGAAAGGAAACGTTTCAGATGCAAAGCACTTGTTTGATTGCATCCCCGAGCCAAACGTTTACTCCTGGAACGCACTGCTCGTAGCTTACATCCAGGTCTTTAATCTCGAGGAAGCGATCAATCTCTTTCGGCAGATTCCCGAGAAGGACGTGATCTCGTGGAACACGATGATCACGGGCTATGCAAACTCCGGCTTCACGCACGAGGCAGCCATGGCTTTTCACTCGATGGAGAGAAGAGATTCGACGTCGTGGAGCGCTCTAATCTCTGCGCTGGCACAGAATGGCGAGCTCGACGATGGAGATATCGCCTTCCATCGCATGCCGCAGTGGAATCTCGCGGCATGGAACAGCCTTCTCTCCGCGCGAGCCGAGCAGGGAAAGATGGTCGAGGCGGAGCGGATGTTCTCTCGAGCTCCAGCTGCGAATCTTCTCTCGTGGACGGCGATGGTGGCGGGATTCGGACACAATGGTCGAGTGGAAATGGCTCGAGCAGCGTTTGAGAGGATGCCCGAGTGGGATATCGTGTCATGGAATGCGGTGGTCTCGGCGTTCGTCCAGTGTGGCTGTCTCGAAGAAGCTCTCGAGACGTTTTGGAGGATGCCCGCGCGAGATCTCGAGTCGTGGAACACGATGATCCGAATTCTCTGTGAAGCAGGAGACCTCGTCCAGGCCGAGAGGATCTTCGATGGAATGGCGCTGCGAAACGTTGTGTCCTGGACGACGCTACTCACCGGACAAGCTCAGAGAGGCCACACGAAGGAAGCGCGAGAGAGATTCGCGAGAATGCCACAGCACAGCTTTGTCACCTGGAACTCCATGCTCGTCGCTTACTCGAGCTCCAACCAGATCGATCTCGCCGAAGAGGTGTTTTGCTCGATGCCAAAGCACGACACCGTCTCGTGGAACACCATGATCGCGGGATACTCGAGCAGCGACCATATGGATCGAGCTCTGGCTTTGCTCAATCTCATCCCACACCAGAGTTCTCGATCGTGGAACACCGTGCTCAATGGATACGTCACAAACGCCCATATCCGAGAGGCTGGAATACTCTTCGAGAGAATGCCGCACAAGGACGTGGTTTCGTGGACAATAATGGTGGTGGGCTTCTCTCAAAGCGGCCAAGTTGGCCATGCAAAGAGAGTGTTTGATCAAAGCGTGGAGAGGGACGTGGTATCTTGGGCAGCTATGGTGAGTGTATATGCCCAGAATGGGTATCTTGAGGAAGCCAGAGAGATGTTTATAAACATGACCAAGTGTAAAGTTTCAATGGACTCTCCCTACCATGGAAGCGAGCACGTCGAGAAAGCCTGTAACTCTTTGCTCGCAGCATTCGCCCACAACGGCCATGCAAAGCTCGCCATCACTTTCTTTCACGAGATGAACTTGGAAGGAGCAAAGCCGGACGAAGTCTCGTTCGTGATCGTTCTCGCCGCTTGCACCCACATTGGCCTGCTCGAGAGCAGTCGGAGTTTCTTCGTCTCTCTCCACCAGGATTTTGGAGTGGAGCCTCAAAAGGAGCACTACTGCTGCATGCTGGATGCGTTTTGCCGGGCCGGGCAGCTCGAGAATGCCGAGAAACTCATCGAGAGCATGCCATTTCTTCCGGATAAGGTAGCCTGGGGGACGCTCCTGGCAGCTTGCCAGAACCACCGTGACATGGAGCGAGCATCGAAAGCAGCGGCTGTGCTAAGCGTCATGGAGATGGATGCCTCACCGTATGTGATCCTGTCCAACGTTTACGTTCTCGGCAATAGCAAAAAGATTTAATAACCTTGATAGACATTGCTCCTGCTTGGAGCTAGAGAAAAGCGGCTAGAGCTTCTACAACTTTCTCGGGCCTGAGACAAAACCATTCAGCAAACTGGAGAACAAAGCAAGGATTTACCAGTCTTCTTGGGGCATGTGGCCAGCGCCTTCCATGAGAACCGTGCGTATAACATCTGGATTGAGCTTCTCGAACTCCATAGCTTGGGTTTTTGGCAAGTACTTATCTTCCTGTCCCCATGCCACCAGAGTGGGTTTGCTCCAGCTGAAAAAGCCGAAGTTAAATCCACAACCTTGAGCCACTGTTTGAAACTTACCTCTTGAAACCTGCCGAAATAGTTGACATCAAGCTTGGAAACGAAACCTTGCGAGCAGCTTCCAGAAGCGCTGCACAGATTCAACCACACACATTTGTAAGTTTAATGATAATTGTCGAAGGATGAAATATTTACCGAATCCAGGTCCACTGCTTCCCAAGTAAGGGAGCCGATACACATCCGCCTTTTCCACCTTGAGCACATACCTACATATATACAATTAAAACGAGAACACTCACTTGGAGAACTGATACGTACGCACTTCCTTTCTCTATAAACTTTTCGGCCATCATGGCGTCCTGAGATATGAATTCTCCAAGGAACGGAAGCCTGAGTGCGTAGCATTATAGTATCATTTCCAAACTTCGAGGAGAAAGAAGAAGTACCTCAGCTGATTGAACAGACCAGGCAGTGGAGCCGATGGTGTCAGCGGGGTGTTTAAGATCACCAGCTTGGAAACTCTTTCCGTGTTCTTAAGGGCCCACGTTAGTCCAAAAGATCCAACAAGAAATCCCTGCTTGTTTGTTTCAAACATATAAGTCACGAAAATCTAGATTTGCTTGCCTGAGTGACGAGAATAAATGGTGATTCTACTTCGACTTGTGCGAGCACCTTGTTCAGCTCCTCGTGATATGCTTCCTCTGCATGATCCCATCATGATTCCTGAGAGTTCTCAAAATTGGGGGGGTTACAACACATAGCTCTAGGAAGAAAACCTGTGTAGGAAAACCTGAAAACAGGCTGCGGTGCTTGGCTGAGTCCGAAACCAAGCCAGTCGGGAGCAATGCAGCGATAGCCAGCATCAGCCATCTGCAAAACCATTACTACTCTCTAGCTCGGGAAAGGAGAAAAGTATCGCAATACCTGGGCCATAACATTTCGATAGCTGTAGGATTGAGAAGGTGCTCCGTGAAGGAACACGATTGTTCCCTTTTTTGCACTCTTTGATCCTGCTTGGTTTTGGAAAACATGCGTACCAATCTCAAGCGATATAGATGAAAGTCGAACCTGTTTCTCGAACGAACCAGCTAAATTCTCCAACATCCATGAACGATCCAAAGTCTCTTCCTTTGTCCTTGATTTGCTGTCGAGAGAGACACAGCACGAAAATTTTTTTTGCAACCAAATTGCCAAAGAAAAAGCTTACCGACATCATGACACCAACGTTTCCATCTTGCCACGGCTCATTGGGCATCTGGAGTGAACCCCGGCTAGACGCATTATCGGTGACGAACGAGAAAGGCCCAGAGCGGAGCCTCTCATCGCTGTCGCAATTGGGCTCGGCGTCCATCGGCTGTTGATCGTCGAAATTCCTCCCGGCCGCCGCGCGGACATGGTGAAATCGAGCTGGAGGACGATTCTCAAGCTGCTGCGATCGCCATGGTGGCGGCGCCAAGGATCGCCCAGGCGCACACCACGCCATGGCCGCCATGCCCTAGAAGCTCCCCCACACAAATTTGTAAGATTTTAAACTTTTGAAATTCAACGTCTCCGATGGCTTTGGAATGTGGCGACGGTGGAGATTGCTTTGCTGGGTGCGCACGTCAATGTGACGAGCTGGCTATGGCGGGACGAAGGGTTGGAATATAAAAGAGCTCCAATGTCCATGTTATGCACATGATACACTATAACACTGCCATTTCTTTTGCGGCGGCATTCTCCACACACCCATTTCGCTTTGCTCGCTGCTACTCTCTCCTGTCCTTGCGCTCTGCCTTGCTGCCGCTCTGCCCAAATCTTCGCCAAAGAATCCCACTTTTTTTCTCTCGCTCTCCAATTCGTGCGCTCTCTGCGTGCGCACCAGATTCTCCTCCACCATAGCCTAGCCTAGTGTAGAGCTCAACTGATCAGATTCCCAACGAGAAATAAGAAAAGAACGAGTTCCATTCCATCCATAGTTTTTCTCTAGCTCGCTAGCGAGAGAGAGAGAGAGAGAGAGTGTGTTTAGTTCCTTTCACTCAAAATCTTTGATCCGTCGGAAAAGGAGAATGTGTCAGATCATCTTGATAATGGGTAGGCAGATTAGATCCAAGCGGCAGAGGCGGCTGTCGCAAGTGATGGACGAATTCTCGATCACCCATGATCACGACCTCGAGGAAGATCAAGCAGTGGTCGCAAACAACGCTGCCGCTACCAACAATGCTCTCGCTCTTGATCAAGCTGCCGACCTCGCAAACACCGCTAACGATCTTGCGCAGCAGCCACAGCAGCCACAGCAGCCACAGCAGCATCATCACCATCGCTCCGCCAAATCGCTGTGGAAGATCGTCAAGGTTCCAGTGCTTCTCCTGGGGAGCTTGTTTGGGCTGGGCGAGCATTACATGTCGGACTACTTCGATAGCATGGGGACGGGCGATGCTCTGCGCGATGCGAGGCTGCGCGTGTGGTTGAGACAAGATCCATCGCTCGCCGATCGACACTACATGATGGTCCAGAGCGGCATGAGGTACTCCTTCTTCCTCTACTAGCTAGAGCGCTAGCCAGCCAGCCATGGATGGAGGTTAATTCATGCTATATCTTCTCTTCCACTTCGAATTCCACTTCCACACAAGTATGTATCTTTCTAAATCGATCGGCCTCCTCTCCTCCAAGCTTTCGGGATCCAGAGCTATAGCTCGCTTCGTCCTGGAGGAGCTTTTCTTTAAAAGAAGAACGCCTGGCAGCTACCGGCAAGATCACAAGTCTTTGGTTTCCTCTTCTTAAATCCAGGTACTATCGCGGCTCGCGATCGGTGGCTTTTGGATTAGCTCGATCGATTGGATTGCGGACTCAACTCTCAAGGATTCCCTGCCGCGGCTGCAGCAACTGTTTCTCCCCTGCTAAAGATCAGAAAAAAAACGAAAAAGAAAAAGGCAGAGAGTTTGGGCTTAAAAAGTGGTGTGGGATTCCAGGAGCACGATCGCGCCATGAGGCAGCCAGCGTGGATGGATGAGATTGTGTTGCTCTCAGCCAAGAAACAATCCATCTCTTGTTTCCTTTGGTTTTGGGCTTGAATGGATCCATAGGATAAGCAGAGCTTTCTTCCAGGAGGAGGAGGCAGCGAGCAGACACAGACATGAATGCAACAGCTGGGCTTGTTTGTTTGCGAGTTTCTGGTTGCATAGAGGTCACCAGATTATACTAAACAAATGCTCCAGGATCCACTCCACAACAACTTGATCGATCTTTTGGGTCTTTCAAGGTGGTGCCTTTCCAAATTTCCAAAAAAAATATCAAAGCTTTTGAGCTCTCCATGTCGCATTCCAAATGCTTTCCCCCATTTCCTGACCCTCCTGACCACACTGTCGTCCTGCCCATTCACATTCATGAGATCATCAATTCCATGTCCATAGTGATATTCCAAGTTTTCCGCTGATCGATCTCTCTCTCTCTCTCTGGTCGATGGATCAATCAATCAATCAATCAATCAGGCAAGGATCATGTATCGAGTCGAGCAGAGACCATGGAATGGATCAAATCTTCTATAGCCCCCGGCATGAGTTTTGCATGATCAACCCACCGTAAAGAGTCTCTCTCTCTTTTCTTTTCGTTCTCTCTTTGCGAGCAAGCGTTGTACACACACGCCCATGGTACCCGGGGCATATTCCCGGCATTGCTTTGCCCAAAGGCGGTTCTTTCCCGCTTGCGTTCCTGGCACGGAAATCAATGAAATCTATCATTCCAATCCAAATCCGTACATCAATGTGCTGAGCACACAGGAGAAAGAGAATAATGGTTCTAAAAAAGAAAATAGCTCGCCACCTTTGCCAGCACTGTACTTTGCGAGGTTAGCAAATGCCGTGGCTGGGCATTTTGGTAAGAGCCAAATTCTAATCACGAGAAAAGAGAGGCCACTCAGGGAAAAAGGGGACCCTCAATCAAGAGCGCGTTGGAGTCCTTGATTGATTGATGGATTCTTTCATCAATCGCTTGCTTTGGTTGGACACGCCAGTGATCTTATCTCTCTCTCGCAAAAATTCTCGACTGTAGTATTGATCTCTGGTTTGAAACAAAACCGAGGAATCGCGATGATGGGCGATATGAATCGATGATAAACAATGATCGCGAGGGAGAATGTACACAAGGAAACGCACCCCGGCACTAGAAAAATCATTGCTTCTGGATCAGATCCATGGAAAGCTTTACAAGTGTAAGTTACTGTCGCTTCGCATTCCACTCAAATTGACTTCCAAAATTCGAGCAAAAAGGAGAGCGCGTGGACCTGACAAAAGGAGAACTTGTTCATCACGAATATGATACAAATCCAGAATCGATGGATCGAGACGGGAGCTTTCATGAGTCGGAAAAAATTTTCGCGAGTGGATTGAGGGATCCACACTACAATATCTCTCTCTCCAATCCGTGAGTAGCAATCCACGAGACACTTTCATTTCAAATGGTGGCACTGTTCTTCGATCGCGAGCTCGCGTGATCACGTCTGCCAGCTTTTCTTAAGCTGGATTGATAATCTCGGCCTTTTTATCTCGCTGCGTAGATGTTGGATAGCATAACATGCGCGGCATCGCTCGTGGGATCCAGCTTGAACACATTCTCCGCGACTCGAGCTCCACGACCGGCGTCGTGCTGCGTCCTACAAGCGCTCAGCAAAGAACCCAACACCTTATCGTCAGCCTCGAAAGGCATGGTTTCTACAAGCTCCTCCGCGAACTGGAGCTGCCCGGCTCGAGCTAGAGCTCCCACCAGGCAGCCATAGTGCTCCAGCAGCGGCGCCAGGCCGTGATCAAACCGGATGGACTGGAAGCCCGTGACGCTGCGGTGGAGAACTCCGATGTGGTTGCAAGCCACCAGCAAGCTCGTGAGTGAGATCTCGTCGGCTCGTTCGCCATGGAGAAGCATCCGGTAGAAGAAGTCGAGTGATTCTCTGCCGCGGCCAGCGGTCGCATAGGCCGCGCTCATGGCGCTCCACACCACCATCTCCAGGCTCGGTAGCATCTCGAAGAGATCTCTGGCGTGCTCCAGATCGCCATACTGGATGAACGCTTGGAGGATGACGATCCATGAGACAAAGTCGCGCTCGGGACACAGTCGATCAAACATGAACTTCGCAGCGGCGAGGTTGCCGTTTTGAGCGTAAGCCTGGAGCATGCTCGTGCACGACACGGAGTTTTGCTCCGGGATCACGTCAAAGAGAGCCTTGGCCTCGTCGACATGGCCTTCTTGCGCGTAAGCTTGCAGCATCGTCGTCCACGACACGAGGTTTCTCTGCGGCATTGAATCGAACACGCTCCTCGCGAACTCCAGATCACCGGCGCGAGCGTATGCTTGCAGCATCGTCGTCCAGCTTACAACGTTTCGCTCTGGCATCCGATCGAAGGTGGCCTTGGTGGCTTCCAGATCCCCGCTCTCGGCACACGCCGAGAGGAAGGCCGTCCAGGAAACCATGTTCTTCTCGGGCATGGTTTGGAAGAGCTCCTTGGCCGATTCCAAGCTTCCCTTTTGTGCGTAGGCTTGGAGCATGATCACCCACGACACCGAGTCCCTCTCGGGCATGCCATCAAACATCGTTTTTGCTCCCTCCAGATGACCGTTTTGCGCATACGCTTGCAGCATTGCCGTCCACGAGATCGTGTTCCTCTCTTTCATGCTATCAAACGTTGCTTTTGCGGTCTCTAAGTTGCCGCTTTGTCCATAGGCCGAGATGAGCGAGTTCCAAGCAACCAAGTTCCTCTCGGGCATGGATTTGTACATGGTGGACGCGCCTTGGAAGTGGCCGCTGGAAGCGTAGAGTTGAAGCATGGAAGTCCAAGACACGACGTTCCTCTCGGGCATGGCGTCAAACATCTGCTTGGCTTGCTCGAGCTGCCCGTTCCGGGCGTAAGCTTGGATCATCGCATTCCAGGCCACCATATCTCTCGTTGGCATCCTGTCAAACAAGAACTTTGCTTCCTCGTGCTTCCCATGGTCCGCGTATGCCACCACCATTGTTGTCCAGGACACGACGTTCCTCTCGGGGATCAAGTCAAAGACCCTCTTTGCTCCTTCAAGATGCCCGTTTTGGGCATATGCTTGAAGCAGAGTGGTCCAAGACACAACGTTGGGCTTATTGATCTTCTCAAACATGGATTGAGCTTCTTCCAGAAAACCCTTTTCTCCATAAGCCTGGAGCATTGCGGTGTAGGAGATTCCGTTCTTTTCTGGCATCTTTTGAAAGAGTTGCTCGGCCTTTTCAAGCTGCCCTCTTTGGGCATATGCTGTAAGCATGGCGTTCCACGAGACAACGTTCTTTGTGGGCATCAAGCAAAAGACGTTCCAAGCTCCATCTAGATTCCCATTTTGCGAGAACGCAGTAAGAATGGCATTCCAAGAAACAACGTCCTTCTCAGGCATTTTGTCAAACGCCGTCTTTGCCTCGTGTAGATACCCATTTTGGGCATACGCGGTGACGATGATATTCCACGAGAAGAGATCCGGCTGCTCGAGGTTGTCAAACACACTGCGCGCATCGCCCATGCTACCGCACTTCCCGTACATCTGGATCACCAGATTTGCGAGATACTTGTCGCTGCGGAAGCTCGTTGCCTGGATCTGCGAGTGGACGTTTCTTCCCCTGGCAAGGTCCTTGGAAGTGTTGCACGATCTGAGAAGTGCCGCAAACAGCGATTGAGTGCCTCTTGTTTCGCGCGGAGATGATGGCTGCTTGGCAATTGTTTGCTGCTGCTGCTGCATGATCATAGCTAACCATCATCGAGCAAAACATCTAAAATTGGTGTTCGTCCCTAAATTATGGGAGGAGTTTGCGGGAAGGATGATCGCCAGCCGCGTTGTGGTATTGAGCTTCCGCCGCCACCCCGTATCCGTGGCAGCAAATGGCTTGAGGAAAGGGAGCTCGAGTCCCTGGCCAAGAGCAAAGGCGAGTTTAGCTTAGTCCCAACTTGTAGTGCCTTAGACAGCCCCAAGCGAGTGGATTGGACTAAAATCGTGCAAGACTGTGCCGCACAAGGAGATTGGAGCGTCCGAAGTGGAAGCAGCTGGGCCGATTCCCTGGCGATATGAGCCATGGCTAAGATTGGAGCGCCCAAGCTTGCAACTCAGCCTGGAGGAGACATGGTAGTGGTATACCTCGAGGGAAGCAGGCCGGTGTTAAAGATGAAGAAGGTTCCCGATGACTTGCTGGAGGCACTCGTAGCTAGGCATCCGGTGGTGACCAGCCTCCGCTGTACCCAGGGGCGTGTGATCGATCCGGGCTTCACTTCATATGAACTCAATCCGTATCCATTCTACAACGGAGATTACAATCTTAAGTGCCTCCCACGCTGCTCGGTGTTGGTGGGCTACGACCGCTTGTTTTGGACCATCTTTGACACCGAATTCAACGTAGTTTACAATGCTTGTAAGAACCGACACACTGGAGTGGGGGAGATCGTACTCGTGCCTATGTAACGTAGAGTGGTTGTCCACCAGAGCACCAAGTGTTTGCATGGTTGTCTTGGAACATTTAAACTCGTTCAGCAACATTTCTAAGGAGGTGGCGGAGGCTAGGAAGCTCCGCCAGCATCTCAGCCTTACTGGTGGAAGAATGGACTAAGAAAACCAAATGCTTTCTCATTCATTCTTTTATATCTATCCTGTTCTTAACCGTAAGTTCTGCTAGTCTCCTTCGGCCTTGATTAGCTCCCTCTTATAAGCTTGTCATCCACTAAGCTCCTGTAAGGAAAGGATTTGGGACTAATCAGCACGAGGCCGATATGATATATCGATGGCAAACCAGTGCTGAAGTGAGGATTATCCCAGGCCAACACCGCCGAGCTGCTTGTTGAGCATCTCCTGCTCTTGCTCCTGCTCCCCTTCCAACTCCTGGGCAGAACACAGTAAATAGTAAGCATGTTTTCAAACCAGAATTTCAAGCAAACCCCCCACCTGTAGCATCTTGTGAAGGAGAGGCCCCAGCTCACACTTCCCAGTCACCACGGCAACCACCTTTCTAAGGTCGTCGCTTGCTACCTCCTTGCACACAGCAACGTCCCTCTCGCTCAAGCTGGTATTGCTTGTTCCGCGGATTTGGGAGCAGCACACCAAGCTCTGCAACGCCTTGTCGTCCAAGTCGGCACTTGGTTTACTGGCACCCGCCTGGCCACGCTTGTGCTGCTGCCATGCGGCCAGCAGCCGGAGCACTGGCTGCGTCACGTCTCGGCACAGTGCAATGGTCGGCTCGAACAAATGGTGCTCCACAATCTCCCGCGAAGCACCTGCACATACACATATGAATGCTGTGAACACAAATCTCTCTCTAGAGATCTGTACCTGGCAGCTTGAAGTCTCGCGCAAGATCAGCCCTGGAGTACGTCGGAAGAGTAAAGTCGTACCCCTCATCGGTGCCGTATGGGCAGACAGCCCCTCCCGATACCTCCATGCGCTTCCAGAAGCGCAGCTCCTGCCATGCACACGTAAGTCTTCGTGCAGAAAAATCAAGCAAGATCATACCTCCACAAGGTAGTAAATCACTTCGTTGACACCCCCTTCGTCTCCGTTCTCCACGACCGGCAGCCGCGGCATGAGCATCTGGTAGCCTCCAGCGGCTGCCCGGGAGCGGATCTCGTCCAGGAGCATCCAGCTGCACTCTTCCTCCTCCTCCGCCTCCCCTTGCAAGCTCACCGCGGCCAACAAGTTGACAAAGCTCCTTTCCAGCCTCAGGCTTTGCATCCTCCTGGGCAGGCTTTGCATCCATATGTCGCACTTGGCCGCAACACGGTCATTGTCGTCGTCGGCCAGACCCGACTTCACCTCCTGCAGCAGCGACGAGTTTGTACACGGCGGCCATCCCAGCCGGTTATAAGCCATGTTGATGTGCTCCACCATGGCTCTGTGCTTCGACTGCCCCCCCTGGCAGCGGAGCCACGAATGGAAGAGGCGAGCCACGGTGTTGCTTGCAAAGTCGAGCTCCACAACGGACGTGTGGAGCTCCACTAAGGCGACCATGTGGGAGCATCTGTCACCCCACAGGCTGGAGGAGCAGTCTGCGGCAGCTTGAGACAAATCCACACCCGAATCCTTGATAGCCTGCACAGTAGCCGATTTAAGACCTCTCCAAGTGTTATGTATACGTACCTCGATCATCTTTTCGACAAAAGTTACTGGGATGCATGCTACGGGAGTGAAAGGGTTGTCCCCTTGCTGCATCATCCCACCTCGAAAACGAACCCAAGCCTCCAGCTGCTCAACGTCGCTCGAGGAGAGCGGCACCGCCTGCGAGCTGGAGGTGACGTTGAACACAAAGGAGAGTGCCAGCTGAAGCATGCATAGGATGCCAGTCCCCGCCAGCTCCGGTGGCAGCGTCAGCCCTTGGCTCCGATCGCCCACTTCCTTGCTGGGAGCAATGAAATGCTTGTCCAGGTGGTGCTTGACGAATTGCACAAGGTAAAAGTGCTTGGCCACCAGGAGCCAGGTATAGAAGAGCCGGCACACCATCTCGGTTACATCGAAGGCGTCGCAAGGCTGCGGCAGCTCGACCATCGTCTCGGCCTGGGTCTCGACCGCAGCAATGGTTGACGGCTTGATATGGCAAAGCATGGCATACATCTCTGCCGGTCGAGACGGAGTTATATACATTGATCGATGAAACATACTTCGGCATACCTTCAAGGATGTGATCAGAGTGAGGAGCGTACGGAACATCTCTGGACGTATACTAGGAAGACAAGAAAGCACAGGAGTGAGAGAAATCCATGAAGGTGTGTGCTTACAGCTACGAGCAGCGACATGATCGCCTTGAACGCTGGCCTGTTGGAGAAGCAAGCCATTGGACGCCAATCGTGGGCAACGTCAGTGCCAGGATCCGCGTAGCGGCAAAGGCTGAGAGCCAGGCGCACGAAAGCCGCTCCAAAGAAAGGAAAGTTCTCGGACGCGGCCAACTCCCAGATGTCGTAACGCACCTTGTCGATGCTGATTCTGGGCAGGGAAGCGAAGTGGTGCAGCTCCTCCAGGAAGCTCGGGTACAGGGATGCAATCGCACACCGTCGGTACAGGTCGTGGATGATGTGCTCGAACCTCTTGCCGGCGGGGCCGTGCAGCCACAAGTAGAAGAGCGCAATGGCATTGTCATCCACCCAGAAGAGCTTGCGCCGTTGCGACTCCCGCGTTACCTCCATAAACCTTGCGATGTCCGTACAATTTATTTATCTCACCTGTTAATTTAAATTAATTATTTTAAGTAGTACTTTTAAACAGTTTAAACATTTTTTTTAAAATTATATATATTCTAAAAATATTTTAAAAGAAAATGTATGTATCCATTTTCTATTGATCCCAACTCAATATACAATATATCCTCTATCAAACTAAAAAAGATTTTGCCTCAAACCAATTACATTGGAGGTAATATATATTGTCAAGAGAAAAAAAAGATTTTGTGCATAGACTTAACCTTTTTTCATAGAACTATTAATTAGATTTCTTGCATATTATAGATAAGAAAATTTATATTTTAAAAACCTCTACTTAAATTCCATGATATATTCTATAATGATAGGTTTTGATATTATAAGATAATAATACATATTTTAAGGTTTATCATAATTGGATGAATAAAGCCACTAGAAGAAAATTTATAATTATTACCCATGCTTACACTCTTTTGGTGAAGCTTCTTGGTTTTACAATTATGGGGTGTGAAATTTTAGTTTTCAAAATATGGTATTCTTGAAAATTTGGTAAAGGAAATTATATAAATATCAAACTTAATACTCTAGGTTATATGATTAAAGAGTCATAATATTAAAAAAAAAAAGCATACTTTTTCTTTTTAATTTTAAATTTGATCATTAGACGAGATATGATAAATTTTGTGTTTTTCTAAAAATAGTGATTCGCTCTTGTTAGAGTGATAATCGCAAACTTGGAGATTAAAACAAACTTGGGTATTAAAACAAAACATTCACTTTTATTTTTCCATTTATTCGTAAGTATCCACATTTTTATAATAAGTACATCATTAAATAAAACAAATATTTTGCTGCATGCACAACAATGGTTTGGTTTGCTTATTTATTAAAAATAAAATAAAATAATTTAAATATAAACTTAAAAAGGTCTAATAAATTTCTATCATCTTTAGAGTTCTTTGAATCAATTTTTTCTTTAATTACATAAATTTAATATAAATTTAATAGTGTGAGTGCATGGAATATGGAAAGGGAATACAGAAATGTGCATATCAATTAGCCCAAAAACCCTAGCTTATATACAGGAGCGAGTGGTCCGGATTGAAACCAATCCGACGGCTACCAAAATCCACTACGCTAATATTAGTATACAACATCGTAGCTGTACACTTGGCCCTCACATCATCCCCTCCTCTCGGAATAATGGAAGGCCGTCAGGGTTCTCTTGTAGATGGGCCAGGATCTGGAGGAACGTCAAGAGGAGGCATCGGTGGATCTGTAGACGGTATTAACTGCTCCTGATCCCTTTGTATGAAGCGTTTTAACCGTTGCACATGCATAATCTCCGGAGGATCGGCCTGCTGAACGTCATGCCGAACCTCATAAACTTGTGGTCCAACTTGCCGCAACACCCGATACGGTCCTTTCCACTGCGCAAGAAGCCCCTTAGATAAACCACGTACCATAAGATGGGGAAAACGGACTAACACCAAATCATCCACTTTGTACTCCGCTGGTGGACGATGATGGGAATTGTAGCGCCGTTGTTGTCCCACTTGTACGCAGCCTAAGTGTTCAGTAGACTCTGCTCGGACAACTGGAAGAATGCTTGTCAAATATTGATCCCATGACCTAGCATCAGGAGCTCGTGGCAATCGCGAAGGTAAACCTAGCTCTGTTGGTAAAATTGGATCATGACCATATAGAAGTTTATATGGTGAAGCACCAACAGAACTCTGCACCCCTGTGACATAAGCATACCGAAGAGATGGCAAATAACCATCCCAATCCGAATGTTGAAAGTTCACATACTTCGCAATCATCCCTTTGAATGTCCGAACGAGCCGTTCCACCAGACCGTCTGATTGTGGATGATAAGCACTCGTAAAAGTGTGGCGTATCCCCAACCGAGATGTCAAAACATGAAATACCTCAGCCATAAATGCAGGACCATTATCCGAAAGAATCCGTTCTGGACAAGAATGCTGGAACACCACTCAATTGAGGAGGAAGTATCCAACAGCAGTTGTAGAGGCACTAGCAAGAGCACCAACTTCCACCCAACGAGTCAAGTAGTCAGAAGCAATAATAACATACTCATTGCCAGCAGTCGATCGCGGAAAAGGTCCCATAAGATCAAACGCCACCAACTCAAACGGACGAGAAACTGCAATTGCCTCCAACCGTCCTTTTGCAGCACAAGGGGGAGTATTACGAGCTTGGCACCAAACGCAGCTACGCACATACCGGATAATATCACGTCGCATCTTTGGCCAATAGAAAGATCTGTGCAGCTTCTCGGTGACACGACGGTGTCCCATATGCCCACCTAGAATAGGAGAATCATGGTAGGCATGGAGAAACCGCGGAATAAACACCGAAGGCACCACCAGCCGTAAATGAGCATCAGGATCCGTCCCCACAAAATAAAGAAGGCCATCTTCAAGGCGATATTGAGAATGTAAATGCCGAAAAGGCAAGTCATCAGCAAGTGATGCAGGATTCTCAAACCCATCTCGAAGCCTTCGAATCCACGGCTCAATCTTTTGAGCCTCGCGAACCTCATCCAGAGAAGGTAGATCTTGCTCTACGCCCTGTGGACACTGAACGTCAAGGACAGCAACCGCCGACGGCACAGAATCTTCATCTAGAAAATCCACAGATGCTGGAACAACAGGTTTGTCAGAAACATGAGAAGTGAGTGGAGAAGGAAGAGGAGCTCCAGAAAGGGCATCAGCATCAGCCATAGAACTCCCTGGGCGATGAACAACATCGAAATCATATATCTGAAGCTTCAAAGCCCATTGAGCCGTACGACCAACCAGGTTCTTCCGCTTCAATAATGAAGTAACAGCAGCATGGTCACCTTCAAGTAACGTTCGAGAACCATGTAGATAGGCATGAAGTTTCTCGAAACCCCAGACTGCTGCTAAACACTCCTTCTCCGTCGTGGAGTAGTTCATCTCCGCTGGTTGTAATGTACGGCTTATGTATGCAATGGGATGGCGCTGACCAGGCACACTCGAGCTCTCTTGCATCAACACACCTCCAAGACCAATGTCAGAAGCATCCACGCGCAAAATAAAAGGTCGAGTGTAGTCAGGATATGCCAAAACCGGAGGAGTCGTCAATAGCTCTTTGAGATTCACGAACGCCCGCTCACAATCGGGAGACCAGATGAAAGATGACGTTGATGACTTCAGCAACACTTGCAATGGTATAGTGCGATCGGAAAGATGATCCACAAAACGACCGAGATACTGCACCTTACCCAAAAAGCGCTGCACATCATTCACACACTTCGGAGTAGGGAACTCTAGAACAGCCACAAGTTTGTCAGGATCAACTTGCAAACCCTTACGAGAAATACGGTACCCAAGATAAGTTGTGTCCTTGGACCCAAACACGCACTTCGACCGCTTCAGCTTTAAACCAACGTCGCATAGCCGATCCAACACTTTACAAACATCACGAACATGCTCCTCCCACGTCCCCTCCGAGTGGATCAAGACATCATCAATGAAGTCAGCCGTCACCTCCGGCATATCGCAAAGAACCTCGTCCATCATCCGCTGAAAAGTTGTTGGAGCATTGTTCAAACCAAACAGCATCACCAAAAACTCGTACAAACCAAATGGTGTATGAAAAGCAGTCTTAGGAATATCGTCTTCAGCCATCGGTACTTGCCAATACCCAGAAGCAAGATCTAGCTTGGTGAACCAACGACTTCGCCCCAGACGATCCAAGAGATCAACAGTGTGAGGAAGAGGGTACACGTCCGGGATCGTCACTTCATTTAACGGACGATAGTCGATGCAGAAATGAATACTCCCATCAGGCTTCGTCACAAGATGAGGTTCACATGCCCAAGGACTCCGCGACTTCCGAATAACACCCTTCTCCAACATCTCCTTGACGTTTGCACGTAAAATCTTGATCTCCTTGGGTGACCGACGACGAACAGGAACCTTGATTGGACGAGCATCCCCGGTTGGAATGGGATGACGTGTGGCAATCTTGGCCCCAGACGATAGGTCAAATTCAAAGAGATCAGAATACTCCTTCATGAGCTGGTCAACAGCTGCAAGAGGGATCGGAAAAGGGAAGAGCAGAACAAGATGGAAACACAAGAGGAAATAATGGGGGAACAAAAGTAATGGAAGCAGAGGTAGAAGTAGAGGGACGAAGAGGTACGGAAGTGAGAGGAATGGATGAAACATAAGGAAGTATGAGAAAAGGGGGAAAAGCCTCAAAGTCACACTTGGCATGATTGTGCTGCAACCAATCCATACCAAGAATGAGGTCAAAAGCTTGACTCGGCACCACCCGCAACGACTGCAACTCAAGCTCGAGATCGCCCACACACACAACCAGGTCCGCCTCATCTCGTGCACATGCATGTGTACGGCCGTTGCCATAAAGAATGAAAACTGGATCCGCCGCACGACGCAAGTGTAGACGACAACGTGTGGCAACAGGTCGAGCAATAGAAGATAAACTCGAACCTGTATCAACCAACACGGAGAGAAGAATAGGAGACCTCTTGTTATAAAAACGAGCTTGGAAAGTAAACACTGGATGAACCGGTGCCGAGTGAACCCCTTGATGATACTCCCGAAAGAAAGATGGAG